ATAATAAATTATAAGACACTTGTTCTTTGCTTTGTTTATTTTAAATAAGAAGGTGTAACATTAAAGTATATTAAAGTGCAAAAAATACACACAAAACTCAAATACATATGGAGGGAAGGGTTTTAGCAGACCAATCACAGCGCTTGCGGCCCGTGTAGAATTGACCCGTTGTTACATTTCTGGAGAGGTGTACGTCAGGCTGCGTCGTGAGCTACGCGTGCTACGCACAACCTACGACGCAAGCTACGGCGTGGTTTCGATGCAGAAGTATAAATCAGCTTTAACGGCTAATATTGCCCACAACACATTGCGCGGTGGATGAGGATTCAATTAGAACTACAAACACGCATGAAAAGTGTTAAAAAACTACAAACATGGCGGATATGCGAGACCAACAGTCAGGTAGAGAAAGGGGTTAGCGTGACAACTAATCAATATCTAACCTGTTGAAAAAATATTTATTTAATGTTATCATCGTTATATTTCATCTGCAGCAACACTGTGAACTTTATAATGATACATTTGGTCATTAACTTTTAAATGCATCATTATGCAAACATGAGCAGAGTTCTCGGCATGATAGACCCACGACTGGCAGATCAACGGCCTCTTCATTTCTCTTCAATACGGTAGGAAATTAAATTAAACGAAATATGGATAATGTTAATTTTGACAAGATGAGAGGGGAGGGGGCATGATTGGGGAAGGACCGCAAGCCAGTACTCAAATTTCGGACCGGCCAAAGCGCAATGGCGCTATATGTTGGCGTGCCAACATATCACTGTACTGTTAAAATAAAAATGTTTAGAAAGTTCTGATAAACACACTAAAATAATTTCAACAAGTTTTATGTCAAAAAGCAACAGATTTTAAACGAACAAAAAATAATGGTTGGGTGACAACATGTTCAAATGTTCAAGTTTTGACAAAAAAAAAGTTGTATAAAATTGTATAACTTTTTTTTTTTCAATTTTATTTATGTAAGATTGCTGTGAACAGACACGAATAAACCCTTGGCCACCTCGTGAGCCATGGAACCACCACATTCCAACAGAAACAAACTAAAGATTATCCTCCGCAGCCATGTGCGGTCGTAAAACTAATTAATGATCTGCATGATGCCCGATTGTCTGGACCAGCTTCCTGTCAAGGCCTGGTCCTTATCCCTCCGGGGATCGGAACTGCTAAAACCCTAACTCAATCACCAGGAGAGAAGAAACTCCCTCTGTCTGAAGACCATTCGAGGACCAGATGTGCCATGATACCCATGACCATTTACCGCATAAATTAATAATCCCATCAGCAAAAGAGACAATTTTATAGCCCCACGTCC